ATGAGGTCAATGAATGTACAAATGTGCTTTACACAATTGATGTGTGTATGGATTGTGATAAGAGTTGTTTAAGCCCCTAATAAAATGATTAACCAAAGGAAAAAAAAAGAGAAGTAACATCGAGGGGATTGCTATGGAGCAGTAGAGTGAGAATGTGTTAAAAGTGTTGAATGTGCTGCTCTATAAACCTTCACTTCATTCACAAATTTTTTTTTAATTAAAAAAAAAATAAAGTAAATGTTAAAAACAATATATGCATGGGTTTACAGCAGAGATATAATGTGAAAATGAAATGGCTAGAGCTTCAAAAGTTCACAGAAAAATGGAATTAAAAGATAGTACAAAATATCCATGACTTTTTAAAGACCTTGTCTATGAAAGTCAGAGCACCCCCACCCCAAACCCTCCACTGTCAAGTTGATTCCAACTCATAGTGATCTCATAGAACAGAGGTGAACTGTCCCTTAGGGTTTCCAAGGCGGCAAATCTTTTATGGATTGCTCATCTTTCCTCCTCTGTGCTTACTTGAATTTAGCTTTCAGTTTAGCCCACTGCTTAATCCACTGTACAATATAAATGAAAACAAGAATGTAACTAAATGCATTATTTCATTAAATCGCATCAGCACAAAGCTAGTTGTTGAGATGGAGGTTAAAAATGTATCAGATCTCCAATTTCTCTCCAAACTGATACACTAACTCCATCATTCTGACACTGAAACAGATTACTCTCTCCCCTAAGCTTTCTTCTTTCTGTGGGTTTGGTCATTTGATGTATGAAGGAAGTACTAGGCTACCACTCAGATTCAGTATCAGGAACCACACATGTGAGGTCTGGAAGCCTTCCCACCCGAGTGGAAAGAACATCCTCCCTTCTTCATCGAAGAACAGCTCTTATGGCGGCACACATCTACTCTCAGGCTTGCCTAGACTCCAAGGACAGACCCTCCTCTCGGCCCTCTTAAGGCCAGGCTAGCTCCCAGGTTCTTCAGAGATATCTCCGTGGGGTCACACATACTTCCTTCTTGGCTGTGCACACAGCAGCCATAGGACTCTTCTTTTTCGGGTTTTTTAGCCATTTTCGTTTTTTATCTGTATTTTGTTTTTCCTTAAACCAGACTTGAACCCGGTGCTCCAAGATGTGAATGCAACATACCGGCATGTAGCAGGGAACAAGTAGAGAGGTCTGAGGGGCCAGCCCCAATCCCAACTACATGGACATGTACCCCTACCCCCAGAAGAATTTATTCCAGAGGACAGCACTGAAGCTACAGCTCAGGGAGAAGGACATGTCTGATCAGAGTACATGGGAGCAAATAAAGGGGGAGGAAGAGAGAGTGGAGCACATGCTGGCCCACCAAGTCTTGAGGACAATATCCCTGCTCAGTGCAGCCAATGCACAGAGAGGACTATCTGGCCAGCCCCACTATGAGACACGACGTCCCTCGCTGACCCACAGTCCTACAGGCAACAACACTGGAGACACAGTGTGGGAAGTGCGCCCGATGTGATCCCACCACACCTAGAAAAACACTAAGGGCGTACAACAGAAGAGCGCAGAGAGCAGAGCAAGGAAGTCCGGAGGGAGTACCAAAAAGAGACTTTGGGGCCAGGGCATGACACTTCATCACACTCTTAAAGGTCCACAGACCTTGAACTATTTAGGCTTTTCTTTTTTGTTGTCATTGTTGGGTTTTGTTGCTTTGTTTTGTTCTGTCTTGTTTTTTGTGCATATTCTTATCTCTGCAGGTCTACCTAGATAAGATAGGCTGCATAAACAATCCGGAGGAGAAAACAATGGGACTGGTAGTTGGGGGGGGGGACACGATGACATGGGAGAGGGGGAGGTGGGGGAAAGGAAGTGGTGTTAACAACGCAGGGGCAAGGGAACAAGTGATCCAAAATTGGTGGCGAAGAGGATGTAGGAAGCCTGGTAGGGCTTGATCAAGGGCAATGTAACCTAGATTTTGAGAAACGATGTACAAATGCGCTTTACACAATTGATGTGTGTATGGATTGGGATGACAGTTGTATGAGCCCCTAATAAAATGTTAAAAAAAAAAAGACAAAATAATAATTTATAAATTATCAAGGGTTCATGAGTGAGGGGGGAGCAGGGAGGGAGGGGAGAAAATGAGGAGTTGATGCCAGGGGCATAAGTGGAGAGCAAATGTTTTGAGAATGATGAGGAAAATGAATGTACAAATGTGCTTTATGTAATTGATGTATGTATGGATTGTGTTAAGGGTTGTATGAGCCGCTAATAAAATGATTTTTAAAAAAGAATGAGGAGGCTTATCAGCTCCTGTAGATTTAGTCTCAGAAGCCTTATAAGGGATCTGTGTAAGTCAGAATCAACTCGATGGCAATGTAATTTATGGATTTTTAAGCACCTAAACCAAATCAATTGTTTCCTTTATTAACTTAATTTAAAACCAAAACCCCCCAAAAAAACAAAAACACCACCCCCACCCCCAACTCAATTCTGACCCACAGCAACCTAGATAGAAGACAGGGAAGACCTGCTCCTGGGGGTTTCTAAGACTGGATCTAGTTACTGGAATAGAATGCCCTACCAGTCTCCCAAGGAGCGGCTAGTGGTTTTGAACAGTTGACCTTGTGGTTAAGCAGTACATATAGACATTACAACTAGTAGTCCACCAGGACTCCTCAATAAACTAACTAGTGATATCCAAATGTAGGATTTGCATGGGGGGGACGGGGGGGAGACTAAAAAAAGGATATCAAGGGCTCAAATAGAAAGTAAATGTTTAGAAAATAACGATGGCAACATATGTACAAATACACTTGATACAAATGATGTATGGATTGATATAAGAGCTGTAAGAGCCCCCAGTAAAATAATCTTATAATAAGTAAATATATAAAATATAGGATTGTTAGATGGGACAAAAGAGATGAAAAACACCTAGAATCTGTCTCTAAAATACACACATTAAAGACAAAGTCATAATGAAAAGCAATAAAACATACAAGCATTGAGCATAAACAAAGCTGATGTGGCTATATTAACATCAGACAAAAGACAAACTATTCCACCAAAATTACTGCTCTGAAGCTCCCACAAAAGCTATGGAATGACATTTCAATTATATAATCCATCCCATCAGTTAGTTAATACAAGAAATTAATATTATGTCGAAGAGAATTGTTAAGAAAAAAAACGCAATTCTCAGATATGTTCCAAAGAAAATGATTAGAAAACATTTGGACAGCTGTAAAAAACAGAATTAGAGTATTTTTCACCATGTAAAACACTATTAGTGGAAATCCATTGTCTATGGACTATAATTAGAATTTTACTTTAAAACAGAAGGAAAAAATCTTACCTGTGTTGTACTATCAGCTGCTTTCTTATTAACAGAAGTATCCAGTGCTTTGTTATTTTGGTTTTCTGAGAGGTCAAGAATAAGTAAATCAGTCATCTTTTTTAAAAGCAAAATATATAAAGTTACGCTGTGCTATATACAATGGAAAATACACATATCTAAATAGTAATGCTGCAACTGTGAAGCATCTTATGAAATGGGTAGTTTTGGAAGACCTAAGTCAATCACAAAAGAACAAATAGCGTATGAGACCACTGTTTCACCAAGATAAAGGATACTCATACAAAAGAAACAAGACTTAATAGTTACCAGAGAAGGGAGAAGAGAGGAAAGCAGGAAGCCACAGGCTAGGTAAGTGCTGGCTCCAGTGGAAGGGAAGATACTGTCTTACATAAGAAAGGCAGTCGGGGAGAGTGGAGAAGAGGGCAAGCTATTGGGAAGTTTGACAAGTGGATTAAATCATGGGGTTGTTGAAGCAAAAATGTAAGTCCCCACCTAAATACATAATAAAAAGTTCTTTTGAGGAAAAAAATAAGGCTTTCAAGATTAAATTTTTTTTAATTCATAGAAAACTTCTACTATCTTTTATTTCCATTCCCACAAACTTTCTGAAGCATCCTGAGGTTCACTTACTTTATGACAACAATAATCTGATTTAATTTTGCTGCCAACATGAAACATAAATAATCTCACAGATTACTATCTAAAGTATCTTTCAGAAGGGCACATTTCACACACACACACACACACACACACACACACACACACACACACACACACAGTTTCCTAATTCTAATTCTGTCCTAAAGAGTATCTCGGGGGAAAAAACCAATACCATGTAAAACTCTGGAGGGTTCTAATAAAAGCTGGAGGTGGAGGTTGGGGTACAGGGGAGCCGATGTCAGGAGTTCAAGAAGAAGAAAGTGTTTGAAACGGATTGTGGTAGCAACTGTACACCACTGCTTCTTGTGACTGAACTATGGAATGATGTATCTGTATTGGCTAGCAATAAAGTTGTGGGCTGTTTTTTTTTTTAAGTTTTAAATTACTTCATTTATGACAAGTCAGCATCTGTTTTAGATTACGACGTTCAAGCATTACTTAACAGAAAAAGTAACTGTTACTGACTGATCCCATGTGTAGTACACTGAAAGACACTGAAGACATTACAGAAGTGCTCGCTGACGTGTCCCTTAAAATCACTGGATGAAAACAAATGAAAATAAATAAATAAATAAATAAAACAAATGAAAGGCAAAATCTTCTCCTGAAGAAACTCGAGTGAAATTATGGTGGAAGGAAAAATAGTTTTTGTTGTTGTTTTTGAAGAGTAAAGGGGTTTTTATACTCTTGGAATAAAAGGTGTTTATTAAATCTGAAAAAGGATGCTGGACATGAATTAGATATAACTTCACTCCCAAATCTGTTCTTTCTTTAATCTTAGTACACGACACCAACATTTAACAAGGTCGTAGAAATCTAAGTCATCTCTAATTTCCCCATCTCCGGTATCTACCTATCTTTTTATTAATGAGTTACAAGAACTGTCAATTGTAAACAATTATTAATTTGATATTCAAAACAAGAAAAGTCAAGTACATTAAAAGAATATGGAAACAGCCAACAATTATTCAGATTTTTTTTTAAAGTACATCACCTAGGTAACATTGTGAAGACCATACCCTTTTTCAACTATCAAATGCTCAGATACATATTTAGAGAACATAATGGAATTTTAAATTCTGATATTCGTAGAAGCATAAAATTAAACAAAAAGAAATAACATTTAATTTTTTGCAAGAAAAATTCTATAATTGGGAGCATGCCTCACCTGGGAGCAATTAATTTCAATTTTGTCTCAAAATTGAACGAAGAAAAACCCCAAAATCACATAAAGCAATACTCATGATATATCATCTTCTGTCCTGATATATTAAAAAATACTACTACTAATAATAATAAAATTCAAAGAAAAAGCATCTCACTTATCCACTACTTTTGGTTAAAAGTAAACATCTGTTTTAGTATTGGAAACATGAATAGTAATGTCTAAGGTAAAATGTGGCAGCACACAATGGTAAGAAATATACTGTATGGTCAAACATTTCAACTCTTAAGCACTAATATTATTAATAATAACAGCGGTTTTAGATTCCTAGTCCAGATGTTGTTTGCAGGAGTCCTGGTACTGTAATGGTTACGAGATGGGCTACAATCCACATGGTCAGCAGTTCATAACCATGAGCAGCACCACAGTTTGAGAAAGACTGGGCTTTCTACTCCCATAAACGGTCTCAGAAACCCAGAGAAAGTCGCTGTGCGCCCGCCTTGACTCGATGGCAGTGAGTTTTGATTTTTTGGTGAGTCCACATGTTGACTTTGAGTGACATTCCTTCCGCTTCTTTCCAACATTAATTTTGACCTGTAACTCAGTAACTGCCTCAACAACTGTGAAACACCATCAGTATTTTATAATAAACAAAAACATACTTAGAAGCTGAAGTACAGCATTAGTGGCTACATGAGAAAAAAAAGTCTAACTCACTTATAAAAGTACTTTGCTTACATTTCAGTCACTTTATTAGTAAGACAGATATGAGAGTTACACCTATCTACCTATTCTTATCTTTGCAAAAGTACCCCATAACAAGTAAATGTGAAATCTAATATAATAAGTTAAGGAACACATACAAAATGTATTCTTTTCAGAAACAGGAGTTTTGTAAAGTTTAAATATAGAAATGATTAAATTCTGCTTTTTTTGCATTATCTCCAAGTACACACAATCATAATAGAAGCAATCCTTTCAGAGTAAATGAGAGGGAGAAAATCTATTTTTAATCTGTTCAAATTTGGATGTGAGTGCTGAATGTGCAAAACGTTATACTTCTTTGACAATACTAGTCCATGCTAATACTTCAAAAAATTGTTCTATTAAGATATTCCAAAAGTATTATAAAAATAACATAATATTTGCAGTAATGTATAAGTTTAAAATCAATCACCACTCACTCCCACACAAATTCCATCATCTAAAGGCTGCCAGAACATTTCTATTACTAAACATACATACTGACTTACCAATTATTGGGGTAGTAGTGCTGCTCTGATCTGCAGGAGATGAAGTACTAAAAGCAGAAAGTGGAATTTTCATCTGTAACGACCCTCGGTTATTTGACGAACTATAGAGTCCTGATGCGCCTACCGTAGGCAAAGTAGTCCTTGTGGCTTGTACAATCGAGTGTGCTGTTGGAACAGCTTGCACGGCAAGGGCTGTTCCTAAAGGTGCAGTGCTGGCCGAAGAGTTCCTCTGCATACTAGAACCGGGCACAGGTGGGACGTTGTTCGATTTAGCAGGGTTTGGCAAAGATGGCAAAGACACTGGATTTTTGGTAAGACCACCCACTGTAGGTGGGCTTTGCACAGAAATAAACTCAACACTGCCAGAAGGTTGATTGGTCACTAATGTCCCTGAATGGCTCTGAAGGAGCTGAGGCTGGGATGATACAGCAACAGGTACGTGCAAAATCACTGGCAAAGATTGTAAAGAGATTGTAGGCTGGCCATTTCCACTAGGCACCTGAGTAGTAGTGACTACTGTAGCTGTGTTGGGTGCAGGAAGAACTGATGTTGCTGTCAAAGAACCTGAAGTTGCTGGAGTCTGCAATTTAGGCTGACTACTGACAATGGTTGGAGGAGTGATAAGGTTGGTTGAAGATACTATAGAAAGAAAAGAGAAGTCCAAGTTTAAATGCCCATCTTCATACATTAGCTAGAAGAATTACACCCCACATATATTTAACACATAACATGATATACAATAAAACCTTTGATAATGAAATTATTTCTAGGTTCAAATTCTAAATATTCCTAGAAGCATTTTTGCTGTGTGTTTGACACAACCACATGATTTATGATTAATATGACAAACTCACTATCAAAACAATCTTCAAAATTACTAACGTTTTAAATCCACTAAGAAACAAAAAAAAACAAAGTAAAATGTATCTAAAAAGTATATAATATTCTTGCTATTTTAAATAAATTATTATTGAAACTACTCTAAAAATATTATTGTCTTAGAACATCTGCAATACACAAACTCAAACAGTAAAGCTGTAAAAAGTTCTCACCATTAATGAATGTTAGGTAATCTTGGTAACTGCATTTTACCATCAAGCCTATGGAAAACGTTTTATCTCTGGCTAGTTTAATGGAATTTCTCAGGAGAGAAACTACTAAGGAAAAACGCACTGCTGCAGACTTGATTCCAACTAGAGTGATGCTACATAGGACAGAGTAGAACTGCCCACAGGGTTTCCAGGCAAATCTTCCTGAGCGCAGGGCAGCTCATTTTCACCTTGTGGAGTAGCAGTCAATGCCTATCACACATTGCCACCAGGGCTCTTTCTCTAGCCATTTTCATGGAGCATCATTTTATTTGACAGAACAACTTACAAACACACTGGAGTTATAATTCAAACACATAGATATTTTATTGAAAACCAAAACCAAACCAAGCCAGTCAGTCAATTCAAGGAAATTAACCCCAACAGTATGTACTGGCTACATCAGATTTGACATCGGAACCCAAATTTTAAATTCTGGAGAAATCTTATATTTGCCCCTGTGAAAATGGTAACTTCACAAATTCTTAAAGACTTTTCTGAGAATTGATGTTAAAATTAATGAACATGATTTGTTTTTATCTTAGTTAATGAAATACATCAACATCAGGAAGACGTGCATGACTTGGTCACTAATATTTTCCCAAGAAATCAAGAAATAGTATTGGTAACAGAATCACTCAAAGTATAAGGTAGGTATCTGAATTTCAACATAAGTGAATTAGAAAAGTTCATATTTCAGATTCAAGGTTGCTAATAATCTTTTAAGAAATTACTACGTGGCAGTTACAAAGAAGAATACTAACAAATATCTAAAAGGACTAGTAAAATAATCTACCCTTTCCCAATTGCATATTGAGCATGAAAGAAATCTTGGTGGCACTGTGGACTAGCAGTGGGCTGCTACCACAAGGTGAGTAGCTCAACCCTTGGGAGGCAGATGAAAATCACACAAAAGTTTACACAATCTCTGAAACCCCAAGGTGTTGCTCTGAGTTGAAATTTACTTAAAGGAAGTTGTTTTTTGGAATTAGTGTACGGCTGACTTTTCTGTAAATACAATAACCAGACAAAGATGTGAGGATCCAGCGGTCTTGATGTCTTAAGACTTAAAGAGATATGCAAACATAAATATAAAACAACACTTTTTACTCAATTTTTTGGAAAATACTGTTCATTAAAATTAAATTTTAAAAAATGTTTCTAGTCCTACATATAATGGGTTTATTAACAATATTTTCAAATGAGTATGTTTCAAGTTTATGGGTTTTAATTTCATCTAGCAGCTATTTTTAGCCAGGAATCCTGGGACAGCATACATGGATAAGTGCTTGACTACTAGCCAACAGGCTGGTAGTTCAAACCCACTCAGAAGCATCTGGATGAAAGGTCTGGTGAACTGTCTCTGAAAGGTCAGTCTGAAAAATCCTGTGGAATTCAGTTCTACTCTGCAGCATAAGGGGTTGTCACGAGACTGGATCAACTCAACGGGAATATTTTTCTTTCTTTTAAAAAAATCTACTATAAATATTGATTAATATAACTAAAAATAGAACAAAAGCTGTTTGGAATTCTTAGTAACTTTAAGGGTTGGAAGACCAAAACCATTTGAGAACCATTTGAGAGCTCGGTCTTTCTAGTTTTTTTTACATGTTCTTAAAGATGATTTCTGAATTTTTAAGTTTGTTATCAGCGATATATTTGGGAGCAATACCTAGTTTTGTAGTTATTTTACACTAAAAAATTGTAGAAATGGAGAAACAAAATCTCCAAAAGTCCTAAAAAAAAAAGTACTTTGGTGTTAGACAACATTACCTGTATTCACAGGGGTTTGAAAGGAAGGTGGTGTGCTCTCGCTTATATTTCTTTTGGACTCCAGCATCTGTCTCACTGTGCCGGTATTTCTATGAAATAAATATTCACACAAACTGTCACTGGGTATGCTGCCACACACTGGGACACACTGAATTTGGTCCAGATCACTATATACAGTATACCATATATACTCGAGGATAAGCTAAGTTTTTTCAGCACATTGTTAATGCTGAAAAGGCCCCCCAGTTTTTTGTGGTAAAATTAGTGCCTAGGCCTTATATGAGAATATACAGTAATTAAGCAAATCGAATGAATTTTAAAATTTCCAAGTGTGTAAAAAAGTTGTAATTCCTCTCTAACACTAGGTTTACAGACATAAGTTTCTTATATACGTACTACCTCTACGAACTGGCGTCAAATTGACACATGAAAGGAACCACACATTTTCTTTAAAAAAACAAACAAACACCCAAAACTTTAAAATGACATACTGTACACTCTTAACTTATAAGTGAAGCTATGTGATGCTGTATATTGAAATAAAATGTATACTATTTAACATTATACAACATCCGAGACATTGAGTTAGGTATATCATAAGAACTGCTTGGGGAAGTCATATGACAATCTCCACTGAATTGATTGTCTTTACATTTGATGTTTATGAAGAACTTTTTGACTAAGTTTATATTTATTACTAAATACCTACATGAATGAAACCAATTTACTGGGATTAATATTCAATCTACCAATATGTCAAATAGACGTGAATCTGTAGATAGGCATGCCACACAGAGATTTTCAAGATTAGAAGGCTGAGAAGAAAATGGATTTGGATATATATCTGTCTTGTTAAATGGATAAAAGTCAGCATAAATGGTAGAAAATAAATGTGAAGGGTTTCTGTAATTCCGTAATTTTCATTGAGGAAATCAAAATGGATCAATATGACACATCCATAAACCTACTGTTAAGTGTACAATAATAGCATTATGAAAAAGTTTAAAATACTGTGAGACCATGTGAGCATGAGGTGTCGATGGGATCAGGTATCAGACAACAAAGACCCAGGAAAATAAAAATCATATCAATGTGAATGAGGGGGAGGGTGGAGTGGAGACCCAAAGCTCATCTGTAGACAATTGGACATCTCCTTACAGAAGAGTTACAAGGAAGAGACGAGTCAGTCAGGGTGCAGTATAGTACTGATGAAACATACAACTTTCCTCTAGTTCTTTAATGCCCCACCTCCCACACCCACCCACTATCATGACCCCAATTCTACCTTACAAATCCAGCTAGACCAGAGCATGTACACTGGTACAGATAAGAAGAGCTCACAACACAGGGAAGCCAGGACAGGTAAGCCCCTCAGGGCCAATAATGAGAATAGAGATA